TATATATAGATAGATAGATAGATGTAGATATAGATAGATAGATAGATGTAGATATAGATATAATTTCGAGCCCCTAACTCCGAAGGGGTTGAAAATGCTGATCACGGAGTTGACTAGTCATTACAAATTGCAATACAGCCATTATCTTGATACGCTTCCTTACTTGATGTCGGGCATCTTTATGGTTTGGAGAGTCCTGAATACTGTGAGCTGTGTGTGAAGTCGTTTGAGATCGCTCAAACGCTTTCTAAGGGTCCATCTAAAACAGCCATGTCCCACTTCAAAAGTGAACCTAAATATTGTAGCATAAATATTTTTAAAAAAATATCAGTTTTTATGGAATGTTCAAATAGTTCATAGAATTGACAGCAAAAGTAAACAAACGAGCTGTTTAGCAACATGTGCAGTAATTAAAACGTTTTTATTAAAATAAAAATGAAGCATAGTTATAATAGTTCAAATACCACATTTATGATGAAGAGAGTCGGATTGGTATTTATAAAGGAGGGGNAAGGGGGGGGGGGTAATAACGAATCGTTTGTCAATCAGGTTCGTATCGAAAGAAAATCGAAAGTGAAATGTTTACTCACACTCTTTTTCCTTAAAAACAAAAGTGCAACAAAAAAAATAATAATAATAATGGAGAACTTTTAGTGTTACAAAGGAATTGAATAAAATAAAAAAACGTGTGTTTTGAGTATCATTGTTTATTTTCAGTCATGCCAAATTTAAGAAAGGGTTTGGAGGGCAACCCCCCCCCCCCAGAAATTAAACATTACTTGATGAATGAACAGTTGTACGGTAAGTAGGATGTCGATACGTAGATATAAAGACAAAAAGGTTAAAAAGAAAAAAGAGAAAACACGGAAAATAATAAAGATAAATGAAAAGAGAAGAAGAACAAAACAAACATCGTTGAAAAGCGGTTGTGGACATGAATATTAGCTTTGTATTCATATTTTTAATGAACTCATATTATCATGATAGAGCTTTCTATTAATCCAGAATTTATTTTTACTTGTTATTTTTTAGTTGTAAGGAAAATGTATCCGAGAGGTAATAACCTTTCGGACAGTTACATGTCTTATAAAAACTCTATCCTACAATAATGGAAAACATTTTCAGTTTTTGACATATACTAAACAGACTATATATACTAAACAGACTATATATACTAGCAGACATATATATACTAAACAGAGCTGTTTAGGTCACGCGATTTCTCATACTTATCAATAAAGTTTAAAGCTTTCAGAGGTTTGAGAGATCGACAATAAATTATGAATGAAAGCAAGCATCTTTTAAACACCCTGTGACAAAAAGCTTGTAACTGGCATCGATTACTTTAGTTGTTATTAGCAATAAATTGCATAATATTTAGTAAGCTTAGCTTCAGAACCTGATCTAGAAATACGGGGCTTTAGACACAGAACTGTCAAGAGCTTCCTTGTCGTTATTTTAAACAAAATTTACTTGTTGTTTAGTGATGAACTGTTTTTAAATTATACGTAAATTACGATTCACTAGCAAATATTAGCTTATATCTATTTCAATATTCATTGACTCAAAATTATAATAGACAATTCTTTAGCAAAAACATAAAATGAAATTATTTGTAAGACTGAGTAGTCCCCCAGAAATGAGGAGGCCCTTGGCCTGGGCCTCTTAAGCCTTATGATAAATCAGACACTGCCTATACCACATCATATTTATGAAAATGTGGTAGTATTTATAAAAACAAATTTTTATCTTACGTTTTTTTCCCTTGTTCTAAGTTTAAAGATATTTAATAAAATTAAACATAAGTTCTGGAGAAATTTTTAATTAATTATAGATTTTCTTTTTAAAATTTGAACAATTTTGCTAAAAATTGCGCAAGACATGAACATTTAAAAGTAGTTCTCTCCATTTTTTTAATTTTGTATTTATTTAACTATCATATCAGTTTAATAAAAATTGTTTTTAGCATTATATTTCTGAATTTGCATGTCCTGCTTCGACTGAGCGGATTCCTTAGTAATGCAAAGAAATGTAAAAAATACATTTCTTTTGCGAACATACTTTTTCGAAGGCTACGTCTTAACATGAAAATTTGCTTTTTTTTTTTTTTAGATGCTGTGAGTTTGCAACTGTTACTCATGACTGTTAGGTCAAGTTTAGCCTATCTAAAGCCAGCGCTGTTTAAGTTTATTTTGAAAATGGCGCAAAACGTCAATATTCTTATTGGCGTTTTGCGCTTCAGTTTCCAGAAAATTAAAAGCGTTTACGGTCTAACTTTTTAATATTTAAAAACTTACTCCAATACTGCATTACCCGGGCTCATGAAAATTTGCAAAAACTGAGAATACGGCAATAATTTTTATAATTTTTTTTCTAGGTCGAAAAATTTTGCTTAATTAGCGATTTTTAAAAAAAGTTTAAAAACTTTTAAAATATCTAAGTTAGTATTAGCCTGTTCAAAGGCCCAGATAATTCTTCACGACAAGATTGTGTGTATAGTTTAAAATCATTGCATTGCTTCAAGTGTAAGGCACTTAAGCTATTTCTT